GTTAACCCTTCACTCCTTTATTTCTCAGGATCACTTTCTTTCTGCCTAAAGAACTCTCTTTAGTATTTAATGCAATATTGATCTTTAAATGTCTGTATTTTTCTTTTTTTGAATAGTATTTTTGTTACGTATGAAATTCTAGGTTAGTATTGAGCTGCTTTCAACACTTTATAAATATGTTTTTGACTATGTTCTGGTTCCTAGCCTTTCTATTGAAAAGTCAGCTGTCAGTCTTCCTGCTGCTCCTTTGAAGAATAATTTTTCCCCCTCTGCTTTTAAGACTTTTCTCCTACATTTGAGTTTTACCAGTTTTACTGTGATATCTTGGTATGGTTGCCTTTGTATTTTTTCCAGCTTGATGTTCACAGGGTTTCTTGAATCTCTGGCTTTAATAACTTCCATCAGTTTCAGAAAAGTTGACCTTTATTTCTGCTCCATTGTATTTCTTCTCCTCGTGAACTCCAGTTACACAGGTTAGCCTGCCGAGTCTTTTGTTTCTTCATTCTCTCTTCTGTACTTTTATTTTTCCTCCTCAGGCCTCAGTCTTGGTATTTCCTGTTGGATTACTGTATAGTTCAGCTGTGACTAATCTATTAAGCCCATATATTTTGGTCTTAATTTCAATTACTATATTTTTTTAGTTCTAGAATTTCCATTTGAGTCTTGATAGATTCTTGTCATATATCTTCTTAGACGTATTCAGAGTTATATTAAAGCCCTTGTCCAATAACTCTAGTATCTACAGCCCCTATAGGTTTGTTTTTTCTATATTTTTCTCTTTTGGTGTGCAGTCATTTGGTCCTATCTCCTGCTAAGCTTGGTAATTTTTATTCAGTGCTAGAAACCCTATGTGAAAACTACAGAAATAAACTGAGGCTCAGGATCATTTTCTGTTCGTCAAGAAAGCATGTGCTTTTGTTTCCTGCAGGCAGGACAGGGCCAGACACGGTATAGCAGAGATGTCCTGGTATACCTTTTAACTGACTCAAAACCAGCTTTTAGTGACGGCTGTCTATTTCTAGTTTGCCCTTACCCTGGTGTGCACTCTTCAGGGAATCTCAATGAGAGCCTGCAGTATTTCCAAGCCCCTCCTCCTCAGCAGACCCTGAGCTCATTTTTCTCCCACATCTTCAGACAGTTGGAAGCTTTGCTTAGCTTAAAGCACTTCCCTTAAGTCCTGTTTGCTTTAGTCGCTCCGAATTCCAATTTTGGTCTTCCTATCCCCATGAAACTTGCACAAGCTCTGCTCAGCCTTTTAATCACCACTTTCTGCTTGGCTTCTAAGCCTCTCAGCCTTATGCTGCTTATAAGCTGGGAGATAAATGCCTTCAAGTAAAAGCAGTACAGAGTATCGGACACGCCTGAATATTGTTTCCCTTCTCACTGGGATCTTATCCTCTCAGATTCTGGTTGCTTTGATAATTTTTAATGCCTTGAAAGAGATTTTTTGTTGTTTTGGTATTTAGTGGTTTTTTTTTTTTTTAACTTTTTCTTGGAGGGCTCAGTTTATCTGATACTAACTGGTTTTTCACTGCCCAAATCAGAGGTCATTAGAATTTTTCTTAAGTTGAGTCAGTCTTGTATTGCCAGAATAAACCCAGCTGAATTATATATAGCATCATTTTAGTACATTGTTGGACTTGGTTTATTAATATATGATTTAATAATTCTGCCTTTCTTCGTGAGAAACTGGTTGGTAATTTTCCTTGCTCATCCTTATCCTGTTGTAGTATCAAGATTATCTAGCTTCATAAAAAGAGTCTGGGATGTTTCCTCTATTCATATTCTCTTTTGTTTAAGAAAAAAATTATCTTTTACTTCACAGCTCTGTAAAACTTTTTAAAATACCTTTTCCAGTATGGTTATATCATCTGGCCCTTTTTCATTTCTAATCTCTTTTATTTGTACACTGTCTCCTTTTTATTACCCCAGAAACTCTGTACCTATCCAGCAGTAACTCCTCATTCCCATTCCTTACCCACAGCCCCTAGTAACTTCTGATGTACTTTCTGTCTACCTGCATTTGCCTATTCTAGGTAATTCATGTAAGTGGAATCATACACTGTGTGGCTTTTTTTGTCTGGCTTCTATCACTTAGCATCATGTTTTCAAGTTTCATCCATGTTGTAGTATATATTAGAACTTCATTCCTTTTTATGGCTGAGTAATATTCCATTGTGTGTCTTTACCACATTTTATTTATTCATTCACCTATTGATGGGCACTTGGGTTGTTTTCACCTCTATCGTGAATAATGCTGCTATGAATATTGGCACGTAAGTATTTAAGTCACTATGGACCTAGGAATAGGGTTTGCTCAGTTTTATGGTAACTCTATGTTTAACTTTTAGAGGACCCACCAAACTTTTCCACAGCAGCTGCACCATTTTATATTCCTACCAACAATGCACAGGGTTCCAGTTTCCTCATATCTTTGCCAATACTTTTTGTTTTCTGGGGTTTTTTTTTTTTTTTTGGTTGGTATTTTTATAATAGTCATCCAAACAGGGTTGAAGTGGTATCTCCTTGTGGTTTTGATTTGCACTTCCCTGATGACTGATGATGCTGAACATGCTTACTGACCATTTGTATATCTTTGGAGAAATATCTAGTCAACTTCTTGCCCATTTTAAAATTGGATTGTCTTTTTTATTGATTTAGCATTCTTTATATTGTCTGGATATTCTTTATCAGATATGATTTGCAAATAATTTTCCCATTCTGCGGATCGTTTACATTTTCTTTACAGTATATTTTTATGCATAAATTTTTCAGTTTTAATGAAGTAAAATTTATCTTTTTTCTTTTGTCGCCTGTGCTTTTAGTATCTTGTTTAAGAAACTACTGCCAAATCCAAAGTCATTAAGATTTGCTCCTATGTTTTTATCTAAGGGTTTTACAGTTTTAGTTTACTTTTAGGTCTTTGATCCATTCTGAGTTAATTATTTTCTATGGTATAAGGTGAAAGACCAGCTTCATTCTTTGGCATGTGGATATCTAGTTTTCCCAGCACCATTTGTTGAAAAGACTGTCCTTTCTCCATTCACACTCATTCTTGAATGATAGTTACTCTGGGTGTAGAATTCTAAGATAACACTTTTCTCTCAGCACCATATTCAGTTTTCATCCATTGTTGTAATTGAGAAGTTTGCTGTTTAATTCATTCCTTTGGCAGTAATCTTTGCTTGCCCCTTGGTTGCTTTCTAAGAGTTTCTCTTTGGCCTTACTGTAAATAAGTGTGAATTGCTTGGGATTCGTTTGGCTTCCTGACTCTGAGGACTGGTGTCGGCCATTTCTGGAAAATTCTAAATAGTGATTTGTTTTGTTCTTTTAGAACTCTGATAGAGTCTCCCTCTCTCTTCCATGCCTCTCAGTCACTTTCTTTTTGATAGTCTCTTCAGTACATTTAGTTGCTGCTTTTATTTCTTAAAAAATAAAGTACCCAAGTGCAGTCTTATGGTTAGGAATTCTCGGGAGATACTTTTCCTTTTATTCTCACTCTACTTTTGACCAAGCCAGGCACATATCCCCACTCCCTACTTTGAGAGATGCAGGGGAAGAAGGGGGACTCATTTTATTCCCAGTAGCTTAGTTATTCATTTAAAAAGATGTTTGTTAATCAAGCAGTTTAAGCATTTGAATCAGGAGCTTTCTCACTTAGATTCACCTTGTCTTTCCTAGTTTTCAGTGGGTTTTATTCTTCATGCTGCTTCCCTTGTTTCTGTGATGACCTGCTTTTTTTCTCTTGCACTAGATCCAGAGCTCATGTGTTATCTCCTTCCATTGTCCTGCGTCTGTCTGTTTTGGGGGCACCTCCATCTCTGCTTTGAACTACTATTTTACATTTCCATGGCTAAATGTCACACTTTTCATCTCTTCCCTGGCCTCAATTTTCTGGTGAATGTTCATCTGCCATTTGCTGTTCCTATAGTATCTGTTTAACCTCCTATGTTGATTCCTTTTTAATTACTAATTTCTTAATGAGATGACATTCTTCCTTGATGAGCTCTTGTCAGTAGATCATTGTGGGACAGACCAGTACCGTGTGCCCTCAGCCTTGTCTTCTCCCCAGGCAACTCCAGGGCTGCTTACAACGCCACGCCTCCCCACCCCTCGTCCTTGCTGCCAAACCAGGTTTAGGACGCGGGAGTCCTTTGTATGTCAAGTGAGAGACTGTGGGCCTCTCCCTTCGAGATGCGCTACTTTGGAGAACTCAAAAACTAACACCTTTACCTGAGACCTTCAAGCCCAAGAACCCTCCTTGTGTGGCTGTCATTGCACGTGGCAGTCTTCCTCATACTGTGGTCCAGAGTTCTGTGAGACGATGTGCATTTTGGGGCTTTCTGGGGGGAATGGGAGATAGTACTTCGTTATGCCACCATTTTAAAACTGTAAGTCATACTAAAAGATCAGCCTGTATTCCTAGTTAAATATTTACTGATCAATTCTTCTGTTGGATTCTACTTGTTTATAACTTAAGAAGACTTACATTAATGTTCAAAATGAAAGTGACCTATTCTTGGCATGTCTTATCTGCTCTTAGGGCTCTTGAAATTGTATCATTTTCTTTGTTTACTCTCTGGAAGTTTGAAGATAGGTATTATCTGTTCCTTGAAGGTTTTCGATAAAAACCTCACCTGTAAAACTAAATAGGCCTGGTTCATTTTTCTGGGAAGATTTTCAACTTGTTTTTTAAAAATTATTAATCTAATCAGATTTTCTATTTCTCTTTGAATAATAATTTACATTTTTTCTGGAAATTTCTTCCTTTTAAACTCAGTTTTCAAACTTATTGCCAAAAATGTCATTAAGAACTAGGGGATGGAGTCACTTTACTGTTTGCACTTTTCACAATGAGAATGGATTAACATGTAAAATGAAGACCAACTGCCATCACCAAATAATGGTTGGTATCCTGGGGTGGGAAGGCGAAAGCTATGACTGCCTCCACCCCAGCAAACGATACGCGCTGCTCAGTAAGTCTTATTCTACTTTCTCAGTCTTAGGAAAAGTCCTCAGTGCTGTGGGCAGTGCCCAACTACTGATGTCCCAGAAATTCCAGCAGTTCCGGGGCCTCTGTGAACAAAACTTGGTGAGTGTGATTCTCCTTCCTCCACAGCAGGGCCTTTGGCTGCCCGCTAGATCCCCCAGCTGGGTTAGCCCCTCCGAGCCTCTGGAACTCCTCTGTAACATGGAGAAGGTGCTGCCTCCTTATGGCATTGGAAAGAGGCCAGGAACAGTCCTTTCAGGTAGCTGATGCCTTCTGAAATAGAAAAGTGAGCTCTGTATAAAATAGTCAATATAAGTTAAAGATCAGTTAGTGCTGATTTATTTATATAAAACATCCTGTATCTAAGAAGACAACCAAGGTAAGAAATTAAAAACTACCACCACTAGGTTTGGTGGCTTTCCTTCTCCCCCACCCCTACCAGCTGGGAATGTCGAAGCCTCTCTCCAACTAGCCGGGGTGGAGGATAATGGCAGAGTGTTTGTCTCGGGCAGTCATGAGGAGGAATGCGTTGTCAGAGAACAGAATGAGAGGAGGGAGACCACATGGATTCTGTAGTCATACCCGCCTGGGAGGAATGCTGGCTCCTCCCTGCCTCACTGTGAGACCATGGCCAGGAACTTCTGTTTCCTGCCTGTAAAATGAGAACAGTGGTCTGCCTGGCATGAGACCCTTCCTCATTGTAGCCCTACAGGGGTGGCACAGGTCTCGGTGCCCCCATGTATGTGCAGGGACTCTTTCTCCCAAAGATCCCCACAATCAGGGCTGGCAGTGACCGGGAACTGACTTCATTCACTCATGCAGATACTAACCCTGGGAAGAGGGGAGCAAGACTAGGCCACAAGGGGCCCCCACCAGGGCCTGTAGAACCAGCCTCTGCCTTGCTTGCCCCATTGATCCCTCTCTGCCCCGCAGAACCCTGACGCCAACCCACGTCCAACAGCCCAGGACCTGGCAGGGTTCTGGGACCTGCTACAGCTGTCCATCGAGGACATCAGCATGAAGTTTGATGAACTCTACCACCTCAAGGCCAACAGCTGGCAGCTGGTGGAGACCCCCGAGAAGAGGAAGGTGAGCATGGAGCAGTGCGGAGGGGAAGTCCAGGGACAAATTCCTGGTCGGCAATAACGCTGCCCACATCGGTCAGTGCTGCTTGGCTCCCTTCTCCGTGTGTCGTCTTTGAGCTGGGGGCTCACATCCATCAGTTCGCGGGGTCCATGCTCGGCACTCGTCTGGCATGCCGCTCGCTCTGTGCAGTGGAAGCTGCCCCTCGAAGCATGCCGCCCTGCCCTGCATGTTCAGAAAATGGGGCTCCTGGGAAACATGCCCGCAGCCTCAAGCACAAGTGTAGACATGGCTGTGGGGAACTCTGGAGGCAGAAAAATGGTCCTGCTCCTGGAGCCACACTTCCAGGAGTATATGGGGGCCAGCCTCCTCCCTGAGGCCCAGGCTTCCTTCTGTAAAATGGGCACCCAGTGACCCCTATGGTCATTGTTACTAGACTGTGGGCCTTGTAAGTTCTGATCCCCTAGAATAGCATGTGAAATGTGACCTGGGAGTCAGAGGCCCTGACTGGGCTGTGTGACTCAGGCTTGTTCCTGCCTGAGTCTCTCAATGGTTCAAAGCAGGGGTGGGAACAGGTGATCTGACCATCCCTTCCTGCTAGAACATTCTGAGCTTGCTTTTTGCTCCTATGCCTTGTGCTATTCCCACTATCATTGCTTCTCGTGGCTTCTTGATTCCAAATGTGTGTTGCTTGTGCCCGATGCAGGGAGGCTGGGGCAGAGACTCCAGCTGCCAGCATATAGTGGGTGGTAGTGCCACACAAAAGGTGGCACCTTTATTTTTCTTCCCTCCTCACTGTCTCACTAAAGGAAGAGAAGAAACCACCCCCTCCAGTCCCAAAGAAGCCAGCCAAATCCAAGCCAGCAGTGAGCCGCGACAAGGCCTCCGACGCTGGCGACAAGCAGCGTCAGGAGGCCCGCAAGAGACTCCTGGCAGCCAAGCGGGCAGCTTCTGTGAGGCAGAACTCAGCCACAGAGAGTGCGGACAGCATCGAGATTTATGTCCCCGAGGCCCAGACCCGGCTCTGAGACCAGGAAGCAAATAATTTTAAGTCATTTAAAAAAAAATTACACAAGCTAAATGCAAATGGAACAAAAATTTTTTCAACCTTTAGTATGGTTATTCTATCTAGAGACCCTGAGCCAACTTTCAAATTGACGCATACAAGGGCTCACAATTTGGCTTTTTTGGGTCCCTCCCAGCTTTAGGTTATGAAGACTTCACATAAAAACAGTCAACAGAAACACCAAACTCTTTTTTTCCTCTTGCTGGCCGTGGTGGACAAGGTAGATGGACTTCGGCGCTTGCCCGGCCCAACCTCCAGACTGCGGTCTTTTTACTCGTTCTAATGAGAACTTAAACTAGCTTGTTTACAAGACGACGACAGCCCAAGGGGAGCCTTGGGCACCTGCCATGTCCGTCCTTCTCCTCCCGGCTACCCCCGCTCTGACCTCAGAGTTTTCATTCTTATGTTTCTCTTTTCCCTTCAGAGCTCACACAGGGGTCACCATCCTGGCTGCCGGCTTTCTGGCTCTCAGCCCCTTTTGTGGTTGAGATCCCAGAGGACAGAGCGTTGGACATACCTCCCCCTCTCCCGCCAAGTGCTCACACACAGTCACACACGTGCACACACACAGATGGAGGTTCCTCTCAGCAGCAGCAACCCTACCCCTGCGATCCGCCAGCCCTAGGCAGGGTCAGGTGGGCGATGCACCTCCAGGGGAGGATGAGGAGGGTTCAGGCTTTGGGGGGAGCGTGAGCTAAAAGCCAGTAATCACACTCCAGACTCCCGCCTTTTTCTCTCCAGCCCCTTCTTCCTTCAGCAAAATGTATGACTCAGAGTGACTTGCAGGGGGCACTTGAGAGAGGGACCCCATGTGTCTGTCCCTGGTTGAGCCTGTGTACAGTACCCGAGGGGCGGGCGGCTGTGTCTATACGTATGT